ATGGCACCTGACAACAACAACAATGTATAGGTTCTACACAAATACAAATATTGTGGAATTCCTATTCTACACAATTATTTCCATAGTTTGTAATAATCTACATTTGATTGCCTTTACATAGTCAATAAAATACAAGTAAATATCTGTATTTTGGTATATTCTGGTAGTCTCTGCTTTCAGCCAAGATCCATGTGACATCATCAGTAATATCCTCGTTGTTGTTAAGTGCTGTCAAGTCGTTTCCGACCCATAGCAACCCTGTATAGTGTTTCTGAGGAGTGGCTGGTGAGCTTGAGTTGCCAACCTTACAGTTCAGACTGACCTTACAGTCCCTGTCAAACCTACTGCCTTCAAGTCAGTTATAACGTACAGCGAGCAACCCTATCTATGTACGGTTTTCAAGACTAATCTTTATGGAAGCAGATAGTCTCATCTTTTCCTGTGGAGATACTGGTGGGTCTGAACTGCCGACCTTGTGGTTAGCAGTCCAGTGCTTATCCTACAGCACCACTAGGGCTCCTATAAGGAAAGGTTATTAAGTAAGTCCTTCTTTGAGAATAGAAAAAAAAATAATTTTTTTCCTGATGCCACATGAAATTAATTGGGAGGAAGTTTAATACTAATCTGATAGACTGCCAACAAATAATTGAGCTGTATGTTTGCTTTTAATGCCAAATTCCTTTATAATATCAGTGAGCCAGGTTTATATGTCTTTAGGACTCTTTCACATGTCTGACAGCAAACATTTTTTAATATTTATTATGTTCAAGTCATGTGAGAAGCAGTATTATACAAGGTAGACTGTACTTCTGCTTTCAAGAAACTGATATTCTAGCAGGTAAAGATCAAAAGTAACCTCAAAGACAAATAAATTCAAGTTCTATAAACATGATAGTATGTTAGACAGTGCCTGGGAGGTGGCAAGTCCCCAGGAGTGGTCAGAGAAAGCCTCAGAGAATGAATTCTTAGAATTGAGACTTGAATGAACTGTGAAGAACTGAGGAAAAGTGGTTCTAAGCACAGGAAATAGCGTCAAAAAGATACTGTGTCAGCTATACATTACTTACCTGCTCTCCTACAGGAAGGCTTCTTGAACACAGTTTACCTGAGAATAGCGTCCTAAATTGCAAAGAAAGAATTAGTTCCAGACTTTTTTAGATGTCTTGTTTAAGAGTATATCTTACTGTCCGCCCCAGCATCTTAAATGGATTCATGCATAAATAAGTAGTTTAAATTAAAAATGGTGAATACTTTTAAAGGAGCATACTTACTTGAAATTTTTCAAGTTTTAAATGGTCTTTATGTTCATTTGGCATGTTGGAGTCTGATGTTCATTTGGTATAGTGTGACCTAATAAGCATGTATGTATCTTGATGCTTCAAGAATTCATGTACCTAAAAATAATATTTTCTCTACTATTAGCACAGAAATTTCACTTCAGCAGCGCCTCGAGTACATTGCTCGAGCCATTCTTAGTGCCAAAAGCTCCACTGCTATTTCATCAATTGCTGCAGATGGAGAATTCCTTCATGAGTTGGAAGAAAAAATGGAAGTAAGTACTAAAGACATTGTACACAGTGAGTCCTATCAGCACTGTCATTTCACTCTCCCTTCTTCCACTGCTAAAGGATAGATCTGTAGAAGTCATTCTTATTCATTCTAGTCTTTGCCTCAGTGTATTTCTTCATTTGTCACAAGTTTAAGTATAAATTTTAAAAAAGATTTTTATGATACCAGCTCTTAGGTCATATAGAGACATTGCTATATTTAAGAGCTATTGATTCATCATGGGCAAATTAAGACTTCTTTTCTCCACAAACTAGGTTGCTAGGATCCAGCTTCAGATACAGGAGACACTACAAAGGCAGTATTCCCATCATTCTTCTGTACAAGATGCAGTTTCTCAGCTGGATTCTGAGCTAATGGACATAACTAAGGTAATAAAGAAGTGAACTTTATAGTTCAGTCATGTAATGTCTAAAAAGATCTTGTCTCTTTTATAGTATGTGTCATGGAAAATAATAATTTACATTCACAGAATAAGCCATTCTTGGCAGCATTCCCCTGCTGCATCTGACTCCTAGAAAGGGCAAGGCTACTCTTTCCAGGCCTGGCAGCTCAAAGACCTCTCAGCCTCACATTGAAATGTTAAATACCTGTGAGCTGGTTTGTGTGGTCTTACTTCTTACCTTTGAAATAGTCACTTATCTTTGCTTGATTGTCCAAGTCTTCAGGTACCTGAAAGACCCTGAGATTTGCCAGTATTTCCATGATTCTTCAAACCTTAGATTGGCCAACACAAATTCTGAAAGAGGTGGCTTTGTAGCATCTCCATGCTACCAAAATAAAGCACCCATACTGAAATTTATTTTAATGTATTTTCCTTGAATTCACCATTTTTAACTGGGGATTATTACCAGCTCTGGTAGCGTAGTGGTTACGAATTGGGCTGCAAACCGCAAGATCAGCAGTTTGAAACTACCAGCTGTTCCATGGGAGAAAGATGAGGCTTTCTGCTGCTGTAAAGATTTGCAGCCTTGGAAACCCTGTACCAGGGACTCTATGAGTCAGAACTAACTGCATGGCACATAACAACATATAACTCCACGGCACATAACAACAACAAACAAGCCATCACAATCCAAATCTTAGTAACTCTAGATGAATATTTCAGTTGAATCTCTAAATACTCTCATCTGGTTGGATGTTTAATTTTTGAATTTTTCTCCCACAGCTTTATGGGGAATTTGCTGACCCATTTAAACTTGCAGAGGGTAAACTAGCAATAATTCACTGTGCTGGTTATTCAGATCCTATATTGGTGCAGACACTTTGGCAAGATATCATAGAGAAAGGTAAGTGTTCAACTATAGGTATATTGCTATACCTTCTTGGTGGAGGCCTGCTACTGCTAATGGCTCATATATCTGAGACTCATGAAAATTGTATGTACGTGGGACCAGTTGCTTGAGAAAGATATCATGTTTGGTCAGGTGGAAGGTCAAAGAAAAAGATGAAGACCCCCCAATGAGATGGTTGGCCAAGTGGCAGCATTGATGGACTCAAGCATGGCAACAGTAGTGAGGTTGTCTCAGGATTGGACAGTGTTTCGTTCTGCTGTACATAAGGTCGCTATGAATCAGTACCGACTTGATGGCACCTAACAACAACAACAAGTAGAGAGTGATAGTTTAAGAGTGACCCCAGAGTTTTGTAAAATGGATACTGCAACAGTTCCTCAGAATCTTATAATCACTGTCCTGAAAGGATGAGAATGTATTATCAGATACTAAGAGAAACCCAGAATCTACTGATTATATTAATGCGAATATTAGCACTAGAGTATTTGCAACCTTGTAACCGTTTGAAATTAATGTAAACGTTTCACATTAAAAATAATTTGGGGTTTCTAGTGATAAGTTGGAGTCCTGGTGTGGCTCTGTGGGTTAATGCGCCAGACTGCAAAGCCGTTTGAACTACAAAGTCGGTGGTTCAAGCTCACCAGTCGCTCCTTGGAAACCCTACACAGGGTTGCTATAGGTCGGAACTGACTCGATGGCATTTAGCAACAACAACAATGATAAGTCAGAGGAGCCCTTGTGGCACAGTGATTAAATGCTTGACTCCTAACCAAAAG